ACATCTGTAGCTGATAAAAAAAAACTCTGGAGAATTGAATCCTCAAAATTCACAAGGGATCCAGTGTGAAGTCACTCAAGTCGGGTTATTACAATATGCTCTCCCCTCTTTCTGTGCACATTCATTGCGTTTACAGCATATTAGAGGATACAAAACTGAATGCTAGTAGAAGGGAATGAAAGTGAAATTCAATAATAAATTACTCCATGGTGCCCACAGCTAGAGAGCTCAGTAAGGATTTTTTTAAAGCTCAGTTCCAGGATGAAAAAAAAACCACTTGCAGTGGGGCCCTTGATATTGCAAGGTTTAAATGCTCATTAACTCTATGGGGTAGAGGAAGAATCTGTATTACTTACTTTCACAGGAACTGCTCCCAGGGTAATGATTACACTTTTGAAGCTGAGGAACTCTTTAAGAGGTTTAGAGAGAGAGGTTACCCTCAAAGAACCCTTTGGGGTGCTAGGAAGAAAGCTTCTGCACGTGGATGGGAGGCACTTTTGAGTGCTAGAGGTGACGCTCAGACTTTGCAGCTGCCACCAGATAGAATTTACACCCAATACAGGTTTCAGTGGGAGGAGGTGCGAGACATTCTGACAAGGCACTGGCATATTCTCACCGGTCATCGCAACTAGTGGCCATTGTGGGCCCTAGACCACTATTGGTAGCGAAACAGGCCAGAACTGCTCCGGTCAGAATTCGTACAGACATTCCCCAGGATTTGATTTACTGACCTTCTCCAGTTCAAAGGAGTTTTCCCCTATGGACATTGACAAATTTGCAGATTTGTTGAGAAAACCGATGTGTTCACTGATGCAGATCACTAGAATGTCTATCATATTAGACAATTAATTAATTGTACTACAGGCACAGGTTCGTTATGTAATAGAATCAGGGGCGGACTGACAACTCATGGGGGGCCCCCGGGCAATAGGGGATCATGGGCCCCTGTGTCCTTGCCCAAACTCAAAAAAGCCTATGAAAAAGGTACCAGGGGCATCTCATGGGGCCCCCTACTGACCCCAGGCCTTGGGCAGTGCCCGAGTTTCCAAATGGTCAGTCCGCCCCTGAATAGAATGCCTATGTAAAATATTTTATGTGGGTAAAATGGAGTTCCACTTCATGTCCACATCGGTGAACACAGCTGGTAACATTAATCATGAGGACAACAGTCCACTAGCACAGCACTTTGCTGCCCTACATGATTGGAGACTGGATGGACTGAAGGTGAAAGGCTTTTATGTGTTAAAATTTATCCAACCACAGAGGGGCTTAGATACTGTCCTGCTGAGGAAGAAGAAGAAATAGATTTTTTATTAGATAAATTGGGAACCTTGATTGAAAAGGGACTCAATACTGAATTAAATCTGCAAGTTTTCTTGGGACCTCTAAGAAATTAATTTAAGTATGTTTAATCTTGTTTTGATTTGATGTGTGGAGCTAGTGTTTAAATTGAGGCACGCATTAGATTGCTGTATTCCCCCGCTAAATATCCTTCCCAAAGGTCACTGGCGCAATGAGTATACTGATGGATTAATGCATAAAAGAGATTGTGTAGGGTTTGTCATCCTTATTATTGTAGGGGTTAATGTACATTTGCTTTTTTATTTGTTTTGTTAAATGAGGCTACCAGTAATCCTTTAGGAGTGGCTGCCCATGTTGGTATTATATTGCAAATTGGGCAAGGCCCTTTAAAAAAAAACGACAATATGAGAGCCACCTTGTCCTGAGGAAGCTCAAGGTCCAGAGGGTGAAATGTGTTGCCGTGATTACGTCATCATGTCCGGGCCCCTCTGACGCTAGTTTGGCTATCTATCATGCCGCACTGTGCTCACTGCTACAGCTGGAACCATCCATGAATGCAAACAGAGAGATGGGCTCTGATGACAGTGCAGCATGTCTGGGAGAGCCAACAGTGTCAACTGCAGCAGTAGACCTATCATTTATTGGAGTGGTGAGACTGCAGGGGTGAACTGACCATTTGAGAACTTGGGCACTGACCGAGGGCCCGGGGTCAGTAGGGGGCCCCATGAAATGCCCTGGTACCTTTTATAGGCTTTTTTTGAGTGTGGGGAAGTACACAGGGGCCTCATGATCCCCTATTGCCCGGGGGCCCCATGAGTTGTCAGTCCTCCCCTGGGTGAGAGTTCTCTGTGACTGATGTCTGGTGTGTTGCAAGCTGCCCCTAAAACTCCAGGAATTGCTTCCAGTGCATCTGGAAGGGTTGTTTGACTGCTTTGGAGTCTGCAGTTGACTGTGATTACAAGTGGCACCTTGCACTGCATTAACCCCCGCCACTCTGTTACTGCTCCTGCTTTATTGTTGTTATCATTACCTTTTCATTACAACCACTACTGCTTGTTTTTCATCTGCTGTTTGGCAGCTATAGTATACCAGAATGCTAGTGGACTCATACATGCATACTTAACTGTTTACAATAGGAATCTGCATAAACTTGGGATACGTTAATGTCTATTGGACTGTTCTGAGGACTCAGGTGGCCCCAATTTTTTTACCCAGGGTTGATACTTGGCATTATCGGTTTGCAAGTATATATTGGCTTTTGCTTTGTGTGAGAACGCTCTAGTTAGAAAGCTTGCTGATGAATGCCAGGTGTAAAAGTGTTGACTTCTCCCCAGGGGCGGACTGACCATTTGGAAACTCTGGCATTGCCCAAGGGCCTGGGGTCAGTAGGGGGCCCCATGAGATGCCCCTGGTTCCTTTTTCATAGGCTTTTTTGAGTTTGGGCAATGACAAAGGGGCCCCATGATCCCCTATTGCCCGGGGGCCCCATGAGTTGTCAGTCCGCCCCTGCTTCTCCCATTGGAGACCGGCTACCCCACACCAACCGACTCCTGGTATTTTTTTTAAGCTGTGCCAGCTATTTCCTTTATTTGTCTCTTCCCATTATGGGATCTTTCAGATATTGTTTGTGTGTTGTGTGTAGCATGAGTGTTTGTGCAATAGTTATGTGCAAATAACACACATATTATCACAAAGATCTATATAGGAATCCACATAAGCCTGGAAGTGCCGATGTTTAGTGAAATTGGAGAACAAAGAGTAGAGAAAGTCCTTCTCCTTCCACCCATCACAGAGGATTTGACCACCCGAAGGATTGGTCAAATAGCGCAGTTATCAGGCCCAGCAGATGTACCAAAAGGTTATATTTCTTCTAAACAATAAGATCTCAGATGGCAGCTGACTCACCATGCAGTAAATACCACAGAAAAGAAGAGTAGCCACTCCTAGTGTAGTAAATTTAAAAAAAGCGTTTTGGTTTATCCAAAGTATTGCACTTACAGTTACTGTGATAAAAACCAGAAAAGCATAAAAAATCAGAGCGGCCATGGCAAGTAGTTGATAGTGATCCGGGAGTCTCCAATCAAAAATCCAGTTGAAAACCAAATAATAAAGTTAATTAATTGGTTATGGAATCAACCACCAGATCCTGGTTGAGTCTATAACCAATTAATTTTATTCTTTGGTTTTCAACTGTCTATGGCCTGCCTTTGGCTGGGAAGGTTTGGGTAAGTCAATTACTTAAAAAAATGTATGTTCTTGTTGCTCTTTACTTCTCTCTAATGATACACACAGTAGATCAGCCTTTCTCAACCTTTTCAAAGCAGAAGAACCTTTGAAATAACTTTCCATTTTCAGTGAACCCCTGATAATAATTACTATATCTTCAACTCATGATACATTAGTGGGATATCATAGAGAAGAATGCTCCTTACATTTTGGGTTAATTGGAAGAAATACCCCTTTACAGATAGCAAAAGGATCAGTGGTGTGAGTGGGAAATTATCTGAGAGGCAGAAATTGCTCATTGCTCAAGGAACCCCTAACAGCCTCTGGAGGAACCCCAGAGTTCCATGGAACCCTAGTTATGAAACCCTGCAGTAGATATACTGTATAGTACTTTCAATGCATGCTCCTAAACATTGTCATAAAATTATTAGGGCTGCACCGAAATTTCGGCCACCTAAACCTAAGGACCAAAAATACCCCTATTGGCATTTTGCCGAAGGGAACATTTAGCCAGTACAGGTGCCAATACAGGGGACTGTGTGTACTGCAGCTGTGAGGGGGGTGGAGAAAGGCCAGAGATGAGCAGTGTATACAGTGACTGGCTGTCTCTATATGTCAGTGCCGGTTTTTTAAATGTAATTACCAGCTTTTTTTTTCTTCACTATAGCTCAGACAATCAGCGGTCACTTTCACCAAGCTAAAAGAAACACAGCTTCTTTTTAGTTTTTTTTCCCCGAGCTAAAAGAAACACAGTTTTTCTCTGAGATATAGTGAAGAAAAAAAAAGCCGGCAATTGTATTTAAAAACCGGCACTGACATCTAATGACAGCCAGTGAGGGAGCCTGTCTGTATACACTGCTCCTCTCCTGCCCCCTCCTTGAACACACTGCCCCCCTACAAAGATGGCCTGTCACTCATATGCTATCACATAGGGGACTATTGGTCCCCTATGTGATAGCAATAAAATCGTAAGTTAAAAAAATAAAAATATACATGAAAGTAGAAAAAAAAAAAAATTGGAGCCTCCCCACCCCCTCATGCGCAGACATTTCAGTTTTGGTTCTGTTTTTGGCCACGTGCATTCTGAATTTTTGGTATCGGTTTCGGCACCAGAATTTTTATTTCGGTGCACCACTAAAAATTATTATTATAATAGCAGAAGGGTGTTGCTTCAGTGTCAAAAATAGTGTGCCTACAGGCTACACTGATAAAAATCTGGAACTGCTATTTAGACTTTGCTGGCTGCATGCTTGTTACTTGCGAGTGCCTCTCCAGGTAATGAAACAAGTATTAGGATCCCAGCTCTAGAATTACACCATTAGAAACAAGTCAGTGGTGGTAGTTTTCTATATTTATGTCCTCACAGGTTCCCTTGTATATTGTTTTTATATTAGTATTTATATAGATCAGGGGTCCTCAAACTACGGCCCGCGGGCCACATGCGGCCCGCCGAGGACATTTATCCAGCCCGCCGGGCAGGGACGTATCTGTCGCGAGGCAAGGGACTAGGGTTTGGCAGGTCGGGAGAGCTCGGCAAGGCTCAGGCGGGAGGCAGGAGGGCAGGATCAGCAATTCTAGAACAGGGGAAGGTGGGCTCGGCTTGTGAACCTGCACCACTCACCTGGCCTCTCTGCAGCCAGAGGGCCATCTATTCTGATCACTGCATGCAACCGTCACGGCCGGAAGGCGGAGCCTAAAGCTGACCATGAAGAGGGGGAGCAAGAGAGGAGACCCCATCGCTGCATGTCGGGTATCATGGCCAGGGACCCTAGATAAGTGCAATAGATGATTGATCTCCTCCTCTCTCTTTCCCCTCTCTATCCTCTCTCCCTCTCCCTCCCCCCCTCCTCTCTCTCCCCCCTTCCTCCCCCTCTCTCTCTCGCCCCCTCCTCTCTCCCCCTTCTCCTCTCTCTCCCCCCTCTCTCTCTCCCCCTCCTCTCTCCCCCTCCCCCCCCTCCTCTCTCTCTCTCTTCTCTCTCTCTCTCTCTCTCTCCCCCCTCCTCTCTCTCTCCCCCTCCTCTCTCTCTCCCCTTCCTCTCTCTCTCTCCCCCTCCTCTCTCTCTCTCCCCTCCTCCTCTCCCCCCCCTCTCTCTCTCCCCCTACCCCCTCTCTTTCCCCCCCATCCTCTCCCCCCCCTCCTCTTTCTCTCTCCCCCCCATCCTCTCTCTCTCTCTCTCTCTCCCCTCCTTATCTCCCACCCCCTCTCTTTACATTGTACACAGATCTGACCCAATGAGGTGTCTTGCATTTACCGTATATTTCGCTCCATAAGACACACTTGAGGGGAAATTTCTGTGCGTCTTATGGAGCGGCCGGCCCAGTATTCCCGCCGCCGTTGTATGTCTGCAGTCTCTGGTCATCCCCTGTACTGTGTCCGCAGTCTCTGCTCATCTCAGTCTATGGTCTTCTGTACTGTGTCCGCAGTCTCTGCTCATCTCCTGTACTGTGTCCGCAGTCTCTGCTCATCTCCTGTACTGTGTCCGCAGTCTATGGTCATCCCAGTCCTGTACTATGTGTCCGCAGTCTCTGGTCATCTCCTGTACTACTGTGTCCGCAGTCTCTGGTCATCTCTCCTGTACTGTGTCTGCAGTCTCTGGTCTCTGGTCCGCATCTCCTGTCACTGTACTGTGTCTGCAGTCTCTGGTCATCTCCTGTAGTCAGTCTCTGGTCATCTCCTGTACTGTTTTTTTTTTTAGACTATAGTCCAGCCCTCCAACGGTCTGAGTACCAGAGAAATGGCCCCCTGTTTAAAAAGTTTGAGGACCCCTGATATAGATATTTGAACTTTTACAGTATTATAAAGCCTGTGGAATACGTTAATACTTTTTATGATAATGTCATGTAAATAATAATATTTCTCAGCTGTGAAGTATTGCTAGTAGTAGCAATAATAATAATAACAGGAAATCTATCAATGGGCAGATTTATTGGAGGAGGACATTTTGTCACTTACAGTAGTTTAGATATCTGCTTTTTATTCCTTTTTTTGTTTCTGATGAGTAACACTCAACTGTTAAGAACACTTAAAAAAATAAAAATGAATATTTAGTAAGAGCTCATTCTGAGAAAAAGTACCTAAAATCAGAGTGTTTTAGCATAGGGATGGTCATACCAGTCTGCTTCTGCTCCTTCACCATCAGACTGGTAATGTTGGGATATGTCCAGCTCCTGCCGGAGTGTTGTAACTGGATCCAGGGGGACCAAACCTAGCTATGTTGTGATGGTGTCTGTATAATAAGAATGACTACAGAGAATACCAATATTTGGCAGGTAAAACAATCCCCATATTTGTATTTCAACTGTTTGTGTTTGCTAAGGTTTAGTTTACACTTGATCGGGGAATTGCAAAAGACATAGCTGAGATTCATTTTTGCTGCCCCCTAAGTGCACCATCATAAGCTCCAAAGGCAGAGGGAGGGGTTGTGCACATGCCATGACCACGATCATTGCAAAAATGATCCCTGGTGTGGCTTTCAGCGAGCAGAAATGCCTGCTGAACACGACCCAGTCAACTGAATAAAGCCATCCTGCAACCTCCACGCAATGCAGGTGGTCACAGTGTAGGGTTTAAGGGGTTAAAAACAGGCAGTGAGGAAGGGACATAATGCCTCCTCACCATCGATCAAATACCAATTGCTTCTAACTACAAAAACGCTTCTTCGGTGGTATCTGGTCCCTACACATCTTACTAAAATGTACCCTTCTGTGTCACCCAGCTGTTTTCAACATTGTGGACAAGAGGGTACCATGCTCCACATATGGTGGAAATGCCCAGTGGTGACTAGGTTTTGGATCCGTTTATTTAATTTCCTTTATTCGGTAACGGGGGTTAACATTCATCGATCCCCTGAAATAGCTCTATTTCATTTGTTGCCCACTGATATTCCTAAGAGATCGGTTAAACTGATTCTTTATATCCTGTTGGCGGTGAGAATTACGATAGCCAAAAGTTGGAAACAGTCAACAATTTTGTTGGAATTATTCAAGTAGAAACTTAATTGATTATGATTAACCCCATGACGGCGACGTCACACAAATATACGGCCTCACAGAACTGGGCTTTTTTCCATGGGGGCCGCATATTTGCGTACCTATCTTTGTGCTGGGAGTGTGCAGCACTGCACGCTCCTAGCACAAAGACTGCGGTGTCACTGAGAGCCCTGGATCCCGTTCTAACGATCGGGACCCGGGACTCCCGATTCCGGGTCACATGATTGCTGTGATAGCCTCTGATTGGCTATCACCGTGATCAGTCACTGTGCAGCCCGGCCCCCTTGTTTTTTTCTCTCTCTATGAATGGAGAAGAGGAAGAGAGATACATTGTATCTCTCTAACTCCTGGCATAGAGAGGAAAAGAAATGTTTGTAAAAAAAAAAAAAAGAAAAGATAAATAAATAAATATTAAAAAATAAGAGAAAAAATAAAAAGAAAAAATACCTAGATCCAGGTTTGATCTAGTTCAGTGCCAGGGTTAGTGTTTGGGTCAAGGTTAGGGTCAAAGGTCAAGGTCAAAGGTCAGGATTTAAAAAAAAGGTATCAGTGTCAGTTAGTGTCAATGTCAATGTCAGTGTCAGTATCAGTGAGTTTTAGGTAAAAAAAAAAAAAGACAAAAACAAAATGCGAACTATTGTTTCTGGGCTGTACTACAGGTACAAACAACAAATAACATACACATATAAGGTATCACTGCGATCGTCAAGAGCAGGAGAATTTATTTTGGGTTGTGGTAGGTTATGGTAGTAACAAAAAACACACAGCTAAATTTAAAAAAAAAATCTTTTTTTTTTACTATTTTGGGCCAGTTTTCCTTTGATAATAAAAAAAAATCAGGAGATATCCATTACCATTTACCACCAAATGAAAGCCCAATTTGTCCTGAAAAAAACGCGGTATAATTCACCTGGATGTACAAAGTAGTTGTGATGATATGTACGGTTTTACTAACACATGTCAATGTTGCAAAATTGTGCTTATACATTTAGATTTGTTTTACCCTTAGGCGTGAAGGGGTTAATGATAAACTTACTAGTATACTTAACAACAATACTTCTAGATTTGAGAGCACTTGGGATCCATGGATTCAGTATATTTCTGCTATTTAACGGACTCTTGGCTGGCCCTCTCTCTTATTTCTTTTCTATGTTTTATTCTTTATTTTCTTCTTCAGTTCTTTCCTCATTTTTTTGTTCTCTATATTTTTGTCTATTATTTTAACAATATTATTCATACCACCTTGTTCATGGAGCAATTTTCTCATAATTGATCAAACTTTGTTTATGCTACCAGTGTATTCCTCATTACGCTTTCTTGGTCCATTTTGTTGTTATGTTACTACACATTGTACTTGAATTTACTGTTGTTTTATTGTTTATGTTCTGCAACTCGTCATGTCGGTGGGTTTTATCTCCTGTCTTTCTGTATAATGTGTCTAAAAATCCTTAATAAATATATTGAAATACAATTACCAATTGCTTTTCAGAGGACACCATTTGTTAAAGCAAGCCCTAAGGGAGTTAACCCTTCCAAAGGACTATACTGAATTTTCGTTTTTAATAATACTGTCATAGGTAACGTAGGTAAATATTATGTTATGTCATGAGCTGATGATGTCAACATTCAAATTTAGAGAACAGTAGTATAATTAATTCCATGTGGCACAAAATATTTAATGTTCATATAAAAAGAGTTACATGACTGTGTGCTAATGAGGACTGGTCATAATGAGAAAGACACGTGGCAGCCTTGTTGTTTAAAATTCATGAGCCAGCAGTGACATTTTGTAGGACAGGAGATATAGAGCCAGTTTACACCCACCTAGCCAGCCAGTAACCCCCTCCCAGAACATGGCTGTAAATTCAGGACTGCATCTCCAAGGCCTATAGTACACAACTTTTCCAGTGGGACTTGTTAATAGCTACATTTTTAAATAACAAATTGAGTTTTTTTTACAGGATATCTGAAACTTAAGCGCCGAACACACAATGAGAATGTTGGACAAATGATTGCCTGGGGGTTTTATTTGCATGCTGGCCTCATATCAAAAGTCAAGAAGTTACTAAAGGTACGTAAATTCTTGTACGACAGAAAGAAAATGTGTTTGTGTTGCATTTTTGGCTGAAAACTGTACTGATTAACCCTCTCCCTTTGAAAAAGTGTACTTATACGAAACACGTTAGGGAGGTGCCCCCACACAGTGACCTTAGCCCGCATGGTCCTTATGAACGACCAGTGGTTATCTTGGAATTTTATGTAAGTTGTTTACCTGTTTTTATATTACACCCTTTTAATAATAATACTACACTATTGGATACCTCTCTTCTGGGCTTGTTTGTTCTGCGAGCCCCCCCTAAGGTGATTCCTGACACATGAGAGCGTGTAACATTCCTCTGGTGGCTGATGACGGAATACCTGGTGATGAGCTTTCTATCTTCGGACGCATAGTACCTGAATGCTGATGACCTGGTGACCATTAACGTTGCAGTGCTCCAGATCCAGATGACCAGGAGTAGGTCCTATTAACTCCAATGCGCAATAAATTGCGCTATCTGGTTA